CGTTGTATATGGCACCAAACGTGCCGTGTGAGCGAACATTCATTAGTGCACGATTTTTCAGGACACACGTTATTTCTAGGTTGAATCGTGCGATTGATGTATCGGCTTATGTATCCCATACTGAAATTCTGTTATCGTGGACATCACCGCAATATTATACCCACTATAATGCTGTTCACAACGCTGTCATCCGTAAGCCTTTGAATTTAGATTCGCTCACACTTATGTGTGTACGTACGAGAGTGGAATATAATTGCATGCACGTAGTGGCTGGTGTTTGCCATTCAATCAACGTGTAACCCCTGCCGTGGGTGGATCGTGGCTATTAAATCTTGATAGTGTAGTTGGACATTAACCCGACAGCAGGCGAGGCAACCTGATGGATGCTCGGCAGGCAACGATGATGGCTCGGTAATAGCTCAGCAAAAACAGAACACGTTTTCGATCGACAAAGGAGATGCGGATTTGTGATTCCATCGCAACTGCGCAGCCTTCCCTTACATGAGTTAGTCGCCGTGTGAATTTAAAGAAACAAAAAATTCTAATAGCGAAATCGCTATTAGCTCTTTTCTTTTTTTCAGAAGCGACCTGGCCGCAAATGATAGTTGAACGAAGTGGCTTATCGTCACGTGGAAATGTATAGCAGCCAAATACTCGAAACGCGCGGTGCTGATTCTAAATGTGGATGGAAAAACAAGAGGGCCCGGAGATAAATCCACGCGTCCACCGGGAGGGAGACAGACAGAGACATTCAAACTCCAAATATACAGCAACAGGCGTCAGAGTGGGAATCGCACCCACGACCTCCTGCATAACAGGCGAGGGAGATAACATCTCGCCACTGCGGCGCCCCTTAATTTAATGTGCCCAGAACTTGCACGGGCAATTTTTATGAGATGTGAACCACAGAATCTCATATTGAACTTGAAAATAACGGTAACTTTTTTTAATATACTGAATATATAACTACAACACAATACGTGCTGTGATATAGACAGCACTGCATTCAAGGACTCAAGTCAGGAACGGGCTCATCAGGGCAAACAATTACTCGTGATAAACGATATTGACACGAATTGCTTCTGCAGCAGTCTACAGCTGCTGCTGGTGGTGTAGCAGCAACCACGTACGGCTTTCTGTGATTACGAGAAGGATGCTTCTGTACCGTTCAGCCGCTCTGGGCTGAAACCTCCACTCAAGGTCGTAACAAGGTCAATATATACCGAGCTGTTGTCCAGCTCGGTATATATTTAAAGACAGTAAGGTACTGGGGTACAAGGGACGAGCAGGAAACGTGACGATCGCAGCAGCGTTGGGGGAGTGGTGGTGCAGTGGTTAGTGCACTGCGCTATGAAACCCGCAAGCTGAGTTCGATTCTTGACCACGGCTTTATGGGTCGCGATTGATATCCGAACGAGCCCCGGGCACCAAACTTCAACCCACCCTGGCCAGCGTGTTATGTCCTAGACAATACCCCACGACCGACACGGCATTCCGCGAGCTCTCCATCCAGCAGTGGATTGACAAAGGGCTATGCAGTACACGATTAGCAGGGGAAGTCCTGCTGGAGTGAAGCTTGATCGATTTGGGGTTTTGGATCAAAGTGAGGGTTGAGTTGACAGTGGCGGCGTTACGAGATGAACGAACGATTGTGTAAAATGTCCCCATGTGCAGGCGCAACGTGTGGCCCTTGAGGCCGGTCCAGCGAGGGTAAAGAGGCCGCAGCTGACCCCTGCCTCCCCCCCAACACCATCACATCGCCACGACACGGCGCTGAGCTGCAATTGAATTTGCCACGTCCTGCACGCCGCGCTCAACGTTGTATATTGACCAGTGGCGTCGTGACAATATTATTATCATCATCAGCTCAGGGAGTGCGGCAATCGGCTCAGGTGCCTCCCCCGCCCTTTCTCCAAATATTTGATTTGCCTAAATTGTTGCGGAAGCCAAACGATTACTGCTCTATTGACTTAAAACAATGAAACGCGGACCGTAAAGGAAAGCATTTTCATTAAACAATATATATTATTTGGAACCGCGTTTTAAATTAGTGTTTTATTCTTTTGACACTGTTGTTGAAACCAATTCTCACGGTGCTTGTCAAGGGGGGCCCAACCCGGGTGGGGGTGCAAGCCACCTCCTGCCTGCCCCACGCGATCTACGCAACTGCTATCGACGACGAAACTGCTCTCTCTCGTGAATCAGTCTACCCTCAGTCCCGTCTCGCGTCGACTGCGTCATCACCTGATGCCCCTCGCCCACGTGCGCGCAGGCCACGCCAGAAATGAGCTTGCCGCTTCCCCCTCGCCCCATGAGTGATCGCGCCACATCTCTCTCTCATTCAGACGCTGCTGTTGCTGCTGCGATTTTAACTCTCTCCTCCCCCCCTCTCGAGGTGACATTACGCATCAGTAGCAGACCCCCCCTCCGCCCACCCCCACTGTGCCCCCTATTCAGAGGCAGGTCGTCTCAGCCTGGCTGTGGAGGCGCTGATGGTACCACAAGCCACGGCGGGGTTTTTGTTCTCTCCCGGGCCAGACGCAGCAGCAGCAGCAGCGGTTTGACAACTGGCCCCGAGGGTGCCCCGGTAATGGAGTTTCCCATCGGGGGTGTGGACGTTGTAGCCCCCGTAGTCGCTGCCGCTCACGTTCGTAAGGGGCCATCCATTGAGTACGTACGCATGGAGGGGGGAGGGGAGGGGTTAACCTAAATGCGTATGCTTGCGTATGGGGGGTCTACTGACAATGTATGTACGCATAGGAAACCGGGGGGGCGGGGTGAAGCCTCGATAATAATTTATCTACATTGGCCTTCAAATGAGTTAGATTTTTCGATTTAAAGCTTTCGTGACTGCAGGGGTTCATCTTCTTGGTTCTTTCGGTAAAGTCACGTAGAAGGGAAATAATAAATTAATAAAAATAAAACATAATAAAATACAATTCTCAGGACGTTTCGGCCACAACGCAAGCAGTTTATTCAGACGCTGTCTTTCCGACATACATGTTCTTCACCTGAGGACGGCTGCTTGCGTTGTGGCCGAAACGTCGTGAGAATTGTATTTTTTATGCTTTATTTTTATTATTTTATAAATTCCCTTCTATGTGACTTTACCGAAAGAACCAAGAAGATGAGTTAAATAGTCCGGTTGCTTAAACACGTTAATATTATTAATCCTTGATCGTTTCTGCGTGGATTAAATATCGGCCGTTCTATAGCATTCAGGAGGGGGGTGCGTACAGGGAGGGGTCAGGTTTTGACAGATGTGTGCATACCGACTCAATGGATGGTCCCTAAGCCCCGTTCGCCAACAGCGTTCCAGACTCGCAGCGACTGCTCGAGACGGTGCACCGCTCACGGCCGTCCTGCTCGTCACCCTGCGGCTGACGGCAGCCCGCTCACGCGAACACCACTCGCATCAGACTCACTTCGTCCTCGGACACATCTTGCCTTTGGCCACACCGCGCGGAATGCGCCGGGTCTCGTGAGAAGATCTCGCAAGCACGGCGAGTTCGAGCCTGGCTAACGCCTTGATGATGGGTGACCGTCCCTACACACCAGGCTTGTTTGGACGCCTTGGATCGAGTCGTGAACGCGAACGGCGGCAGAGGGCAGTGGAGCAACATCCATTGTTGTACTGTACCGCTCCGCGCCCGCGATTATGCCATCAACTGACCGATGTGGTCAATGTGGTCAGATAAACCCAACCGGCACTGCCAATCAACTGTATCGAATCAGCTCACATCATTACACATACGTATGGTATAGTCGACCTCTTTAATCGCAAGACGTGTCTTTTAAATGTGGCACGGACGCGCGAGCGAGGCTTCAACTGCACCGGAATGGTGAGTGCTGTCATCGAGCGGTGTCCCCACTGGTGTCAGCTGTTCGGCGTACAAACCATTTTAAAACGTCCCATGGTTGAATTTCCCCGTGCAAAAATTGATTATCGTTAAATATATGCGCTCTTCGACTAATTAACGCTTCATAAGGTCGTAAATCAATTAGATTTTTTTTGTCAGAATACATTAAAGGTAAATCTTATTTTAGGGGATTCGTGAAACAGAAAATGATTTGCCAATTGCTCGTGGTGCCATAACGCGCCTCCCATTAGCACGTTTGGCTCAATGCGGTGTGAAAGAAGCTCATACGTACATCGTGCTTGTGACGATTCTTCATAGAGAAAAATGCATCGAGTAAATCGTTGCATTGGAAACAAAGCCAAACCCACTGTCCCACACGCCTAATTAATTCCCGAATAGTATTCCGCAGCGGTGCAAATGATCGCCTGATGTTAATCATAAACATTTACTCTCGACGTGTCAATTGGAGATATCTGCGGTTGATGAATGGGCATCGCATTGCCCAGGGATTCGTGCACGGGGACACGTTGTTCCTTGCAGTACTGTACCACGCATCCCACAACATGACCATGGGTCTTTGTCATTGTCCGCCCTCCATCCGATATTCCCGAAGGGAAGATAGAATGGGGAGCCCTGCACCAGGCAAAGTGTCCATGAATGGATGTGCCATTAGAAGAGATTTCCAGCCATTCATGTGCAGCAAGAAATGTTCAAATTGCGAAAAAGAAATTGGATGAATGGATGTACCTTTACGCACAATGGACCATTAAAGTGCCTTTAAAAAAATCGTCAAAAAGCATATTCGGTTCGCCTGTAGTGCAGCGCTTTCACGCTCTCTCATTTGAATTATTTTCGTCAACACGTTGTTAGTTTCTAAGTATCGGGGTAGCACCGTCGTATAATTCGTTTCACGTGGATCTGTGTGACGTCCTGGTACAGCACCAGAACGTGGATAATTAAGCCGTCTGCAATATTTACTCATATTTTGACCTGAGAACGCACACTTGCAAGGATTCTGTGCCGTGAGTTCAGAACTTTGCCAATGTACTCTCCGGCCAGATATGCACATATTGTCCTGATCAAATGGCACAGAGGCTGCATGCCAGAGTTTCTCGATGGCGGTTGACATTAATTTGTGTTGCGTACTGCAGGATGTTTGTTCCCTGGGTTCTTATCCCATCCTACAAGGCTTGTGTGTCCTCTATGTGTTTTGTACGACAGTCACGCTCGACCCAAGGTAATTCTGAATCCGATTTGTACAAACCTGGCATACATTTGCTTTGCCGTATCCAATTTGGCTGGCCTAACCTTTTAAAATATAGCCGTTGTAACAAATGACTGAGTGTGCGTACACTCGCAGATAGATATTGACCTAACGTGGGATTACATTTTGGCCAGGAAAATCGTAATAAATAAAATACACATACCACCGCGTAGTTTTAGTATACAAACAAACAAAACATCAGCATGTATCAATACAATTGTTTTTTAATGAGATTTTAAAGGCGATAATTAGCCTCCTGGGAGACACAGGGAGATGCTGTGATGTTTTTTTCCGAATCAACTCGCTATTTTTATTTTACCAGCTAAGGCTCACCGAGCTATATTGTTTTTTCAGCGACCTGGCCACAAATGATAGCTAGTTCAACGAAGTGGCTTATCATGTGGAAATCTCTTATAGTCAAGTACTCCAAATGCATTTTTCTAAATGTAGAGGGAAACCCGCAGGACCCAGAGAACAATCCACACGACCACGGGGAGAACATGCAACCCGAAATATACAGGCGTCAGGTACGGGATCGAACCCACCACCTCCTGTATAGCAGGCGAGGTAGTTAACATCTCGCCACCGTGGCGCCCCAATTAACAAGTGCATCAACTTAACTCATCAAAACGAATATCCTAAGTTAGTGTGAACATGATGAACACATTCTTCTGCATATGTCATGTACAATATTTATCTGCTCAATATCAACATGCATAATGTGTTTTGGTTAATAAAAACATAAATGGCTTTCGGAAAATAAAAGATAATGTGCTATATCATTCACTAATGAATTATATAATACGGAAGATTGTGAGGTCAACAATGTATTGCCTAAGCAGGACAGGTATTTGGTGGATGCCGTAAAGCAGATGTATTGAAAGCTGGACTGTAAGCAACTAGAAAACAAACGTTTGGCCTTGGGTATATGTACATGCAGAACATTTAAGCAATTTTTGAAAGCAAGATACCACAAGTAACTTTGCATTTCTCGATGGGATACTGCAAAAGAGCATGGTAAAAATCATCTGGAAGAGGAACTGCATACACTATGGACGTGTGCAGGATTGAGTAACGGGGCTGATTACTGTGACAGAAATGTAAGTGAGTACGCACATCTTGGTGAACAGGGGCCAAGAGCTGGAGCCAGACCGACGCGATATCGCGAGTCGCCTTGTGGTCTCATTGGCGGAGTGCTCACCGTGCAAAATGCGCGGCAGGGAAGTTTGTGGTGGCATCGGCGATGTTTGCCAATCGATGACCTCCACTTGACCTCGGCTTCCGAGAAATATCTTGCATTGGTGCCGTAACCATAACCGCATTTTGTTTTTGTCGCCAGCCATCGTCCGTCTGCCAGACCACAGAGATGGCCATGGCGTGCCCCGAGTGTTCCTTCTGCAGTCACAAGGAGGCGGTGCACAGCCGTCAGTACGGCGTGCGCTCCTACCTGCACTACTTCTACCGCGGCGGACGATGCGGCGCCGAGTCGGAGGGGGGTGCCTGCGGAAACCCGAGACTCGAGACGGCGCGGGCGGCCGATGACCAATGCTCTGACGAGCTGGAGAAGGAAAATCGCCTGTGCGCATCCAGCATGTACAATGTAAGGGGATCCTGTCGCGTTCGCTGCAGTTTTCACCGCTCACGTGGTATGCCTGTGTGCCAAGCTGTTTGATGCAACCCAAGGAACGTAATTTAATGTTCGTATAAAGGTTCCACAAATTATTCCATTACCAGCGGTGGAAATGGGCATGAAAGCCCCGGAACGCACGCTGTGATGGGAGTGAAAATTTGAACCCGATTGACTGCCTTCTGGAATGAATCAATGATATGTTTTTACTCACAGGTAGACGCTTAGGCTAATAGAGAGACCCGCAGACACGTACAGAATCCCACAGGCATGCTCAGAAACCAACATACACACACAAAGACCTACAGACACACAGACACGCAGATAGACCCACAGGCACACAGATAAACCAACAGACGCGCACAAAGACCCACAGACACACACAGAGACCCGCAGCCACCCGCAGCCACACACAGACACACACAGAGACCCACATACACACACAGAGACCCACAGACACAGAGACCCGCAGCCACACACAGAGACCCACAGACACACACAGAGACCCACAGACACACACAGAGACCCACAGACACATACAGAGACCCACAGACACACACAGAAACCCACAGACACATACAGAGACCCACAGACACACAGAGACATCCACAGACACACACAGAGACCCACAGACACACACACAGACCCGCAGCCACACACAGAGACCCACAGACACACACAGAGACCCACAGACTCACACACAGACCGACAGACACACACAGAGACCCACAGACACACACATAGACCCACAGACACACACAAGAGACCCACAGACACACACAGAGACCCACAGACATATACAGAGACCCACAGACACACACAGAGACACCCACAGATACACATAGAGAGCCACAGACACCCACACAGACCCACAAACACACGCAGAGACCCACACACAGAGCGAAGCTCCTCCCCCTCCTTCTCCTCAGATCTATTGGAGGTGGGGGGAATCATTTAAGACTTCCCCCAGTAATTTCTTCCCATTTCCAGCCATGTGCATTACACACACATCAAAGCAGACTCGTTTATTTTGGAGTGGACTTTTTGTGGACGCACAAATAGGCCAAACACAGAGCAGGCACTGCCAGGCATTCTTTGTTGCCACTTGTGCAATTGTGTCACCATGATTGCTTGTGTGAATACATGTCCGAGTATGGTAACAGGTGGAACGCGTGGCGGCACCAGATGGCACGAAAACCAATATCCGCCAGTTTCTAAAACCATTCATGGCCTTCGTATAGAGTACTAAATATGAACGTGCTGCCTCGTTGATTCCCTTAAGTAGCCAAAGATCATAAACCATCATCACACGAACTCTGGTCATCCTCGCAGGGGATTTTGGCTGGCCATCGAACAAAGACGGTCACTGCATCGCGCGTGCTTCTGCGACCGTCTGGAACGGATTTCTCATATTATCAGGAGCGTAATTTACGTAACTAGCGTAATAACTGGCGTAACCAGCATGGGGGCAGGAGGTGCCTTGCCTCCCCCCACCTCCCCGTAGCCAAAGCAACGAGTTGGGGCCTCCTTGACAACCACCGTGAGATGTTTTCAACAACAGTGTAAAAGAAGACGGAGCCGCCCCTACAGCGTTAAATGCTCGAGACCGTGAGCGTAACGACGATGTGATTAGGCAAGAGGAGGCCGCGATACACAACAGCCTCCAGGGTGCAAGCGTGCCAGACAAATCAAATATTGGGGCCCCAACTGACCGATTGCCGCACGCCCTGAGCTGATTATGGCGTCCTTACGCCACTCGATATTAGATCTAACATTTATTTCAGGGCTTTAGTTTGTTGTCCTTCCCCCGCACCTCCGATGAGCACGAGCACGGTTGGTTTCGCACGGTGCGTAAGAAGTCCAACATAAAGATAAAAAAGATCCCCCGTATAGCCTTAACAGACTGTAGGGGCAAGTGCTGTTAGCGAGCACCTATAAAGGCCAGCACGGCATACGAGAGGGTGGGTGGCCAACACCACGCCCGGCCGCCTTTGTCTCCCTAGCGGAAATGTTTACATATCGCACCAGGTACTCATTTGAGGCTGAGTCGACCTAGGGGAGGCCCCAAACCGGTTCAGATAATCGTCACTGGTGTTTGCCTTGAGTGGAAATCGAACCCGGGTCGTCAGGTTCGTAGTGCAGCACGCTAACCGCTACACTACCGCTCCCCACACATCCACACAGACACACTAACACACATACATACACACATACATACACACATACATACAGCTGCCTCCTTGGACTGGTTGAACGAACTTAGCGTTCGACTGCCAGGCGACGATTCACAACCTCTTGCTTTTCCCTCCGGCCGTACGAATGATGGAGACTGCTCCTAAATATCTGCAAATGCGATGTCAGAAAAAAATGTAATCCGAACCGTATCCCGAGTACTGTATATAAATGTGCATACTCAAATCCCCCAGGGTACACTCAGATAAAGCACTGGTCATTCACGTGCAATCCTCAGGGCTGTTGTGATATTTTTAACATGTGATGTGTACAAATAAGAGCTCAATCGATGGGCAATATGATAACGCTTTAATAGCACCACTAAAAGCTTGTGCCTGTGTGAATTATGCACAATGAGCGCTGATTCCCCGAGCGCTGCGTTAAATCTATCTTAATTGCTTATCGATGTGTTGACCCTGGGCCGTGCACGCGATACCGTCCTAATGTTATTTTTAGACTTTTTTTTATTTTACAACTTCATTAGCCTCGCAGCGCCGGCTGACTCCGCCGTGCCGCCCTTTCATCAGTCGACCACTGAACGGGGGACAGGGAGGGGGGCTCTGGGGGGGGGGGGCTACGGCCCAGGGAGCCCCTCCCCCCGCCGTTTGGGCCGTCGGGATGATCTTGACAAGGCCGAGATAGTAACCAAGCCCCACGACCTGCCCAAGCGGCAAACACCCACACGAAATGATAAACTAAACTTGTGTTGTTTTTAACTACCAGTTAAGGCCCGCTGAGCACTTATGGAGTAATTTTCATAGGCGATCTGGCTATCACAAATGATGGCTCCACAAAGTGGCTTCTCACGTGGCATTGTACAGCAGCCACATACTCTAAACGCGTGAAGTTGATTCTAAATGTGGAGGCGAACAAAACCAGAGGACCCGGAGAAAAATGCACGCGACAATGGGGAGAGAGACACGCAGACTCCAAATATACAGCAGGCGTCAGGGTCGCGATAGAATCCACGACGTCCTGTACACCAGGCGAGGGTGTTTTTTTTCGCATCCGTGGCGCCCATAGCCGAGGCTGTTAACGGCAAAAAGGTCAAACCTAAAAATAGACATCATCAGTCACGAAACATTGAAGAAGAAAAAGAAATGTTCTTAATTAATGACATACTCTCCCCCTCCCTACGGCCCATTGCCTTCCTTCGGTTGCAAATCAATGCCGCGCCCTGGGCATCCATCAGTGAGTAGGTCAGCGCCGTGGTGCCAAGTCAAACAACGACGGCGATGACTCCGTCCCTCTTCCCACGTGCATCGCTGCAGAAACCGCCATACACGCAGCTCACATAGCACACACACACTACATATATCTCTCTCTCGATACACATTACCGTAGATTGATTTTATTTCATACAAACGACCAAACCGTTATCAATCTACATTACAGTCAACACCACGTTCTAAACAAAGTAAGGGTCTCATCCATCATTTGAGTTAAACGCTACTCAGACACAAGAAACAGCCAAACAGCAGCATCCTACAGAAAGCATGCAGCTATTCATTTGGCTACAATACGGAGGCGTCGATGTCAGTGAAAGCTTTAGAGAAGACAACAACATCTTCCCATAATCACGTCAAACTGCTCTTACCCGTCTCTTTATTTCACGTTGGGGGAGCAGGGTTGGGGCTGCCTTCAATGCCTCTCGTGGCTCCGCTCATTCTGCCCGCGTGTTTTGTAAGTTTCGTACATTCATCTCCAATTGTTCAGCGAACTTTGTTTGAACATTGACTTTCGTTTATTCTCACATTCACCCTGAGCTCAACGTTGCACCCTTCCCAGTTGCGTTGGCCGAACATTACCTTCCGTTCAGAATCGGATTACAAAGTCTTGATTTAGACTGCAAGATGAGGAAATCAGTGGCGGATCAGCAAGCGACAACAACAACCAATGTAAACATCACGAACAAGACTAACGATGGGAGCACACAAATATTATCATTGGACGTTTTTGTCCTCAGCACATCTGCTGTGACTAATGTTTCCCCCGTTATTATTCACATCTTTATTTCCCCAATCCTCTTAGGTCATAGTGAGTTTAAAATACTGTACTGCGATCCGTATTTTTAAAACAGTTGGACTAACAATTGCTCATTATGAATTAAATTGAGCTCTCCGTAATGATTTGGATAATGGGATACAGCAAGATTAGGGGGCGTCCATAAATGACGTCACGCACCTGGAGGGGGGTCAGACATTTGTGACGATGTGTGACGAGGGGGGGGGGTTGAGAAATATGACATCAAAATGCGCCACTTTAAATAAATATAAACAACACGTTCTACTTAATTAAATCGACGTTTTAATCAATGTTTTCTCCTACAACATCAGAGTACAGCGCAACATTAAATGCGCACTACAATGATAATAGTTTAAAGCGATTTAAAGCATGTTGTATTTGGGGAGGGCAGAGCTTTGTGACGTCATATTTGAGAGGGGTCTGATTTTTTGTGACGAAGGGGGGAGGGGATCAAAAATCGTCAATAATCGCGTGACGTCATTTATGGACGGCCCCTTAATCGTTCGGGTTCGTCGATGCTTGTCGTTATTATTATTATAAGATCACGGTCCTAAGTGCCTGTAATGGAAGTTATGGGCAGCATAGGCCAGACAGTTGCACTCTAGATAATGGTGCTACTGCTCCTGTTGTTGGCAGCACGCTTGGCTCCTTACAACATCCATACACGTACAGCCTGGAGCATCCCGCCGCTGGGCAAAATCCTCCCCCATTCTGCTCCATCCCTTCCTGTCCGAGCTGCCCGTGTCCATTCGTGGCCTCTGAACTCTGCGGCGCTGTCTTGCTGCTGCTGCTGCCGCTCTTGTCTCTCATCTCTCGTCAGCTGTTCTCATGATATGCATGCTGCTGACCATTGCCACTGGATATTCTATTGATTTAGCAACAGCATTGTCGGTGATGCTTGTGATTTACATTTGGACAATAGGCTCTACCCGAATGCGTTTTCTTGGGGGAATTGTCTAACCCAATATAACATTACTTATTCTAATCTGCGCCTCTGTGTTAATCACAATTGCTGGGTCCACAGACGAATCTGTGTTGTAAAGAAAAAAAAACTAATCTTTTTTGCAACGTTACAAAATGAATACAATTAAGGCTCGAAATAATCTTTTGTATGAAGCAAAATACTTCTGTGCTTTACATATTTGTAGTGCAGATTAAACTGGATGAAAATATGACATTCTCGGAGGGTAATCGCGGTGGTATATTTTTTCAAATCATGCGTATTGTTCAAATATACATTCAGAGAATTCATATTTTTTTTATTACGTTCATTGTTGTCCAGCGTTCGCCTCACATACTCTGCACTACAATGCATCGTAGTTTTGAATACAAATTATGTAAATGTATTGTATTCGTATTTTAACTATCTTGCTAGTAAATTACGTTGGTTAGTAAATTGACCGTTATACAGTTATTAGTTTTAGTCATAAACCGACTCTGTTGCTGAATTGGCTTTATCTTCAAGTTAACTGCATTATTTTGATAGTCGCATACTTGCTCATGTAAGTGCTATATACTGCACCCTCTCAATTATTGACTTAGAATTTCCTTTGTGATGCTCTTGATGTAACGACACGGTCATATCCTTCATTGCCGAGGGCACCATTAAGAGCCGAGTAGACGGGATAATTAAATGCTGGATATTTTGGTAAAGCCGGGCATTGTGCCAAGATGACTGCACTCCAGCACTGTGGAGGCAAGGGTCGTTGTGGAGTTTTTTGAGACTCTGAATCCCGCAGGGCTGCAAGGTAAGAGAGTCATACAGAAAATGCGTTCGTGGGAACTTCTGCACAGACCTTTGTCCTGTGTCACTTCTGGTTTTTCCCAGGTACTCTGGCTTTCTGTAACATGCAACATTATTTCTTAGAAAAGAAGTGGCGAAACATTTCAATGCAGAACCCTTCGGTGCATTCAAACTGAGCAAGGCTTTCCTGGATTCCATGTATAATATGCAGCAAACACTCCACGCCTCTGTCCAGCAAATAAATTAAATTGGGACACATCAGCTAGCGTGGAAGAGCAGGCCAACATACCCTCAAGAGGAGCTCTGTCTGGTGAAAACCCTTCCATCGTACGTGACATAATGAAACATTGCAGGGATGCACCTGTGCATTAAATTTTAGTCTATGCCTGTTTTCAAAGATAATTAACCTTTACTGGTTTTTTTCATCCCTTCTTTATTATTAGTTGTTACCTGTCCTCAGCATTATATAAAAAAAACTGTATTGGTGTTAATGGCAATGCTTTTTTTAATGTCTTTCTCGAAAACGGCATGCAGGTGATAGCCATTGTTAATGGAGCAAATTACCCTGACTGATTGTAATGCAAGTCCAGCATTGCCCTGTGTTGTGGGTTACAGCTGCGGGCTCTACAGATAACCCGTGGCTTGGGAGCCACATGGGCAGTTTAATGAACAGCAATGCAGATCATTATTTGGTTTTATTCCAGAAGCAAAGACTCTGGTTGTACCGTATTTAGTTAATGGCACTCATTTTCAACGAGGTGAGTAGACGGTTTAGTCACCAAGGTTTTAATAAATATCTCCATGGAAAAAGCCAGCGATTCTTGCCCAGGTCCACGGTGTGATTTGCCAACGCAATGTCTCACCTGGGCCCGCAGGCCGGAGCTGTGACGGGCTGCATCATTCTACTCATCGGGATCGCAGTGGTGTGCACCGGCTACCTCATCCCCCCCAAGATCGAGTCGTTCGGCAAGGGCGACTTCTTCGTGGTGGACAAGCACGCCCTGCGCTTCAACCGCGCGCTGGAGATGTGCAAGCTGTCCGGCGCCATCCTGTTCTGCCTGGGTGGAACCTCCCTCGCCCTCGGCATCGTCCTGTCGGCGTGCTCTGTTCCTCCGCTCGGCGACGACAAAGGCGCTTGGTTCCAGTCCCAGGAGCAAGGGGAAACGAGACACAGCGATGGCAAAGCGCGCGGTGGCTGGGCCCGTGCTGCTGAGAAGCTGCCGGTAGCGCTGTCCAAGGTGCTGAACGTTCAGCCCTCCGTAAAAACGGGTTGAGTGGCACTGGCGTGGCTGTTCTTGGGAGTGTTTAAAAATCGGCTTGTCCGAAAACTTATGAAAAGGGTGTTGACCGAAATGAGACCTCGATCGTTTGGTCGTTTTAACAACAGGGCAATTATAGGTGAGGTGCTAGAATCAAGGCAATACCGTGAATCGGTGTGAAGACTGGATGAACAGTGAAAGGTAGAGTTGTACTGTTGGCTGCCCATGGTGTGACAGGCAGTGAGGCAGTTGTGACTGAATATCTGCGGATTATTTTTGTCGGTAGAATGCAGTTGATTGGGTAGTTATTCACCATTATGTCAAATGATTCCGTGCAGAGATGTACATCTATCTTTTGCAGCAGCATCCTGGATATATTAAATTAATAATCTGTTATTTTGTAGTTGCAGTGATAGGAGACAATACATGATTTTAGAAAACACTGTCGCTCTCGTGGTTTTGGGAAAATGAATCGTTTTAAACAATTGTATCCAATGTTTCAAGTTAACCAGAATAAAGCACATTGGTATTTATATATTTTTCAACGGGGACCTGTAGCAACAAACATTCGTATTATAGACGTGTCAAATAGGTAATTTTTAAACTTGCATATTCAGACCACGATACCAACACAAAATGGCGTAATCTTCAAGCACTCCAAGAGGGTCTTTAAAATATGCCTAACAGCAGTAGCATTATTTGGTGAATATTCCTCCAACATCACAGGGCAACAGTTGGAACAGAAATGTTTATGTTGGGAACAGTTTTTAACGCAACTATACAGCTGCTTAAGCAATGGAATGGCACCAAACTTTCCAGAATATTTATGAAGGAACACATTTTTCGACTGAAGCAGCAATTGTGTAAGTTGTATATGAGCAGTCGTGTTGTACAAATGGCATAACCATTCTAATAGACAGCGGGCCGTGCAGCAGCAGCAGTCTATTTTCAGAAGCCTTGTCTGGCATCAGATTCGCCCGATCTGCTTCAGGCTTTTTCACGCATATTGGGGTTTCGTGATTATGGGGAACCTATGTTTGACCCCACACACAGGGTGTGTCATGGTCTAATCTTGCAACTGCAGGTTGTATATTATTGTCTGGAACCTGGCATATTCATTGTTATTGGTATATGTCCGATTAACTAAACGACATTTTTTATGAGGACTACAATATATCAGGATCACACACAATCTTCACCAAGCCCCACTAGGACTGACGAAGCCTGAAGGATATCGGGGAATATGATGCCAGACAAGGCTTTGATGAATGTTGAACTTCCTTCGCACCGTACATAGCCAGCAGATTGCTGCTGTGAACAGTCTACTGATGTTGCTGTGCATGCTGAATGATGCTGCTGTTGTGCTGCTGCTACATCTTTGCTGCTGCTGCTGCTACTACACAAGCCGCCTGGCCTACAGCAAGCCGTTAGTACAGAGTCGCAATGAATAAGCTTTACGGCTGTACTCACTGGTAACATTCACAGTCCTGTTACATTCCCATTCCTAATTCGCCCACCTTTGTGGTCTACGGAGAATGGATGCAAGGACGGGCGACTTAAGCAACAAATGTTGACGAGTCTCTCACACACACACAGCCATACTCGAATAAAGTTTTCAAATGAATTCTATAATACGGTGTTTTTTTCATCAATTGGTGTCTGGGGTGAGACCATTAACTCTCCCCTCCACTTGAGAAGCCTCTTCCATCAAGGACCCCGGCCTGAATTGTGTACCACGGAGGCGAGATGGAATGTACCTCGCCTGGTAATCAGGAGCTCGTGGGTTCGATCTCGACCCTGACGCCTGCATAATTAAGAGTTTGCTTGTTCTTATCTCCCCGTGGTCGCGTGGATTTTTCTCCGAGTCCTCCGGCTTTTCCCTCCACATTCACAAACATGCGTTTGAGAGTATTTGGCAGCTCTAAATTTCCACATGATGATAAGCCACTTCATTGAGCTATCATTTGTGATAGCCAGGTCGCTTCTGAAAAAGAGCTTTATATGACTCAGTGGGCCTTGCCAATAAAAAAATATATAGCAGAGTAGCATCATTTATAATCGAACCCAGGATCATCAGTGGTGCCTACTGAGTAATGTGAACCTTGCACCACCCGGCCACCTTACTTCCATTCATTTATACCGCCGTGTGACAGTGGAAAGTGCACAGTTGAAAGGTTATGAGGTCATTCAGGGGTAACCCTCTCAGTTGGAGGGTCAATTTAAATACAAGCACAAGATAGCAAACAATATTTTTTATAGCACGAGAGACCTACCTACAACACCTCACACAAGACTATTAAGGAAGAATAAGCATGCATATGCATGGATTCTATAATGATTTCCAACATGTGTTTGCCCTCGGAAGTATTTGTCTTTGTTACTGAATGCGTACTATCTGCTATGACATGGATCCCACACTTCGGATTTCCCGCACCTCCAATTAGCATGGTTGGCTACGTATGGTGCGAAAGAAGTTCAACATACATACATCAGAAATATGGACGTCGACCAAGAAAAAAGAACACAAACTTAAATTCGTGGTTAGAAGCACGGGGAGGTGCACGCTTGGAATTACGTTGAGGCACAGAAAGAGGAGCGCACAGGCTTCAAGGACACGTGCAGGTTACTGACTGCTCAGAAACGTTGGCTTGGGCAGGACGCGCCGTTAAGAGGGCCACCGGTTGCAAAGAACGACGGGACGACAATCATGGGGGCGAGAATGCTGCCCCCAGAGCACACGTGCGCCGTGGCGATGGGAAGCGACGAGAGCGGCTGGTGATGCGCGCAGGTGCCTCGGTTGAATGCTATCATCGCGGGACCCACCGCCGTGGGGGTGGGTGCAGTGTCAGTTTGGCTGGAGGCCTACGGCGAGCGGTGGGTTTGTCATGGCTAAGCAGCGTCACAAGCCTGCCGAGCCGCACGAGATGATGCCTCGCGGTGGCATCGCCCGCGGTCACATGATCGGGCAGCACGTGGGTGTATGAAGTGTGACGTCATCGCCTTGGATTAAAAAAGAAAAGGCTTTTATCTTGAGTGCTGTTGATTTTATTCACTGCTGAATTCTGAGCAACACTTTTAAGCACGTTGGCCTGCTTTCCAAAGGGCAAGTACCCAATAGCGGTACCGCTTTCATACTCAAAATTGTGTTCGTGTTTGGATCGTCTTTCTGAGAGTCGTGGGGAATCAACGCTGCAGACAGGCAGAAGGACAGAGTGAATGCATCGCGTCAACTGTAGTTGAAAAGTGTCGCTGACCAAACACGTTAGTTCACGTTCAACTATCATTGCTCGTTGACATCACCGCTTAAATCATACAATGAGGATGCAGAAACTTTTTAAAAAGTATTTAATCCTCGGAACGTTTTAAAAGCCTTTTTATGTAAATGTGTAGAAGCATTTCATTAGATTCTGACTAACGTTATAAACCGGGGCACACAAAATGAACGCACGCTAGCATCATCACGAAGTTATTCACAGCGAAGTGGGCTACACGTTATTAATTCACAATATCAAGACCGTTTTTTTTATTGTCATTGTTTGCTAAGCCTATGTAAAAATTGTAATTATTCTTACGTGAAAAAAACAAAAAAGCGACAACGTAACAAAAACTTTTGCGGTGGATGCTAGAACCCTTAACTATCGCAGTGTTGTATTATTGAGCTGGTTGCGGTCATCAGTCTGGCCAGCAGCGCTTCAGTGGGTATGGCCGCAAATCACCGTGGGATGGTCATGAATTTGAACCTCACTTTGTGGTGGGCTCGGTGAATAAAATGAGTAACACTTTGTGAAATCTCAACGAACGTTGTACTGTGGATAATCTGGCACCCACCGTCTACATTTGGAATGCACCAGCAATGGTTCAGGGTTTCCAAAAGCGGATGAGCGTGGCTCCAAAGTCGCTTCCTCATCGAGACACTTTGGCTTGGCCTGATCCGGCAGCTGCCATCATCCCAGGTGCCAGGGGTAATCGGACAGCATCACCGAGAAACCAGGTAAAAAAGAATCAGCTAACACACGGTGAGGAAATTTAAACTGAAATTGTTGTTGCCTATTAAAAAAAGAAAGTGATGTTGATCAAAATTGAAAAAATATCGGTGACAAACAATAATTTCATTTGGCTATGAATGGACTCTCGAAGATAGAACTGGCTGACAGACTAGTTAGAAAGATCGATTTATTTTCTTCAATTTATTTTAGGGTAAACATGGCGTGGACTTCATCCAGCAGTAAATTGACAATGGCTGATAATGATGATAATAATGGTTATGATACATGTTATTCTATTACAGGCATTGCAACAAATAGGCTGCAAAAACAACGCAGCGTCAGTTCAGCGCGCGTCACGTCACCGACGAGTGGGCCCCTTCCCAGCGCTCGCAAGCCAACGGCGTTGTTGTGCAGCCCCGGTATTCAGGCTGCCCCTCTATCAGTGAGGGCCGATGGGTTCCCTCGGCAGCTGCAGAGAGCCGGAGCTGTCCGCGTTCTCCTGCTTCCGAGGCCCGTTGCCGTTGACCAGGGCGGCCGTATGTGGCGAGTGATTGACACGCGCGGGCCGGAGAGAAAAAGGTGGGCTCTCCTTGCTGTGAGCCACCTACATACGCAGTGCCACGGAGGGACATCATCATAATCATCATCTTTCATGCGGTTAGGTGGCTCGCCATGGTGACGAGATGTTAACTCCCTCACCTGGTACGCAGGAGGTCGTGGGTTTGATCACGACTCTGAGGCCTGCTATATATTTGGAGTTTTGCGGTGCCTCTCCCCCTATGGTCACGTGGATTTTTCTCCGGGCCCTCCGGTTTTTCCCTTCACATTCATAATCAACATACGTTTATAGTATTTGGATACTATACATTTCCGCGCGATAAGCCACTTTGTTGAGCTTTCGTTTGTGGCCAGATTGCTTCTGAAAAAGAGCTGTATAGCTCAGTGGGCCTTACCTGGTAAAATATAAAAATGTTCAGTGATTTAGTTTGTTTATATGCATGAAGCTGTTTCAGATAATTTTGGATCTCTTTCATATTTTCGGATCATTCACATTTGTGAATCATGTAATGTGTCTTCATGCTGACAAAACTGCCATCGCCAGATACCATGTGACACCACTTCTCGTGGTAAAAGCGCGGTCGCGACACGATGTCCGTGACAACATCCGATGACGTGTTTACCAATCAATACAAACAATAACAAACATTCGGGGCAATCCAAAATTTGTATCTTGACCAGATTCTCAGATTTAGTGAAATAATCCTAAAATCTCGTTGACCTTTGGGCTGACCTAATTTCACGTAAAGCCTCCCAGTTTGACACGCAGGTAGCTTTCGGCGAGCAATATTATTCATCATAAAAGTTTTTTGAGGTTAGATCGCCAATTAGTAAGGTTTGTTACGTAAACAAAACACACCGATTAGTTACTCCATCAGCCCAATGGTGTGTTGGAGAGCAAATCCACAACATTGACAATTTCAGTACAACGTTTCACATCCTAAAAAAAATGCACTGTAAATCAACGTTTTATTCTGCTTGATTTTGCTGGGGGATTTTTTTTATCATATCAAGACATGTTTCACAATTTACCGTGCTGACCCTTTATGTGCCGTGTATTTTTTTGTTCCATCATCCAAATCCTTTGCGCAAGTTGCACGACATTCGAAAACTGGTGGCGCTTGAGTCAGATGTGGGAAAAGTATAGCGGTACAATTGCTATTGCCCCAAGCTATGGTGAATGAAGACAACGTAAATAATGACATTTATCCCATGAAGTAAATGACAGCCACTTGCATTTTCTATTGAAAGTTGAAATTCTTTCAGACCGTACGTAGCCAAAAATGGTAATTGGAGGTGTGGGGGAAGGACAACAAACTAAACGCAAAAATATATTCTACAAAAAATTATTTTCAATCTAGATTTAAAGTGCATAGCTCCAGTGGCTTCCAAATATCGGAAGTAAGAGCTTTCTAGACAGCTGCAGAAGCACATCTGAAGGCACGCGATGATGCAGTGACCATCTTTGTTCGATGGTTAGCCAAAAGCCGCTGCTGTGAGGATGACCGGTGTTCACATGATGGTTTATGCTCCTTGACGAGATCAGAAAAGAATTGTGGTAATGAGTCCAATCTCATAACATCAAGACAACCTTCTCCCTGATAACCGAGCTTGTACCTTTCCGTGGGTGAGAGCCCTCACCTTGTCCTTTCTAGCGGTGGGTTCAGTCAGGTCCTCTTCCACTATCTCTGCTGCCCTCTACAGAGCGAGACCAGAGTATGCCACACTCAGTAAAACGGCATGGGTACGTCTTATTATCACGCAGCAATCTACGCAGCCCATGGACAATTGTACTCTCACTAACGCCCCACGCCTCTGTCCACACGGCGGTGTAAATGGGAACATCGTGGTTGGTCCTTGGGCAGGTCGCGTGTGCTTGGGTCGAGTGTGGGTAGCCCCACCTCCTCCAGAACGTCTGGCCAGGGCGCATCAATGGCCGTGGGCGGGGTGGGACGTTGATGACTCGAGCGAAAGTTATGCGTGCAAAGCGCGGCCTTGCAAAGGTGAGGGCAGCGCCCGGGCCAGCAGGTGCCACGGTGGCTAGGAGATGTTTACTGCCTCGCCTGGTATACAGCACATCGTGGGTTCGATCCCGACCCTGACGCCTGTATATTTAGAGTTTGCATGTCTCTCTGCCCGTGGTCTTGTGGATTTTTCTCCGGGTCCTCCGGTTTTTCCCTCCACAGTTACAAACATGCGTTCAGAGTTATTTGGTTGCTATAAATGTCCATGTAATAAGCCACTTGGTTGAGCTATCATTTGTGATAGCCTGGTCACTTCTAAACAACGAGCTACATCGCTCAGTGGGCCTAACCTAATAATATAAATATATGGATTTTTATATTTAGGTGTCGGAGGTATCAGAAGCGCAATGTTCACCTGGTCCAGTGGAAGTTCCACCTTCGTGTTGGTGTCCTCCTTCACTTCCCGTGCCCCCTGCATCTCCCTTCGGCCTGGCCGGGCCTTGAACACCCCAGCCTCATCTGGAAGCAAAAAAGCAAAGCGCCAGGACACGAACAATATATTGGACCGTTATACTGGGTTCTTCCGTTTCGAGTGCTATTCGGTTTGTGCGATCTCCCGTATCTCCTCCGCTCGCCGCCATTGAACCGGATGAAACGTTCATCACCTCCGGAGGACGGGGAATGAGAGGACCGCCTGCCGCCATTGCCCCGCTTCACCCTGACTGGCCGGGCGTGGAACACCGCGTCGGAGTCGGTGCGGTCGCCCTTGCCCTCCTCATCCTTCTTGCCAGCCGCCTTAGGCCTGGTCGGCCCATCCGAGGCCCCCTCGCGCACGTCACCTGTGGAGCGTGTGTGCCGGTTTTCCTCCTGACACGCACACACGTGCAAAAAATAAGACCACGTCGAGATGCAAAACAAAAGTGGAGAAAACAGGTTGGGGATAAATTCAATAAAATCACACACGCGCAGGGCTCGTGTCAGGCTTTACAACACGTGTCTCTCTTCAGAAGTATTGAACAGGCAAGGAGCTGAAGAGTCGCCATCACGGCGAAAATTAGGTGGTATGCTCCCAAAGGAGTCCTTTTTCTTTGCTTTGGTTTGTGTCTTCCCAGTTTTTTGAGCAAAGCTTGTATCTTGGCTGCTTTTCAATAATGGCAAGTCCCTCATAGTAATGGCAACTTTTCCCCCCAAGTTTTGTTCATATTGCGCCGTGTTTACGTGAGCGATGGAACTTCGACACCCTCCTCCCCCCCCTTTATGGCCAGACGTACAAAACTAACGCGTGAACTGAACTTACACGACCCCCCACGCTAAACTGTTTGGCTTTTAACAGAGTTCCAATATGAGGCTTCACTGGGTCGAGCGCCAAATGAAAGTTGCTGACAACCAATAAGAAGTACTGCGAGAGCAACTGGTGAGATTCGAGGGTTTGGTTCTTGAGTTCTCATTAAAAATGAAAGATCACTTTCGAGTGTGAGGGGTATCACGGTCTAAGCCCGGTGTCTCCGTTCTCAGAAAGTGGAGAGCTTTTAAAAAGTGTTGCATGCAAAATGTGGATAAGAGACAAGATTTGTTTTATATATAGTCGTCGAAAAAAACACAGCCAATCACAAAAGATGCTATTGTCATATATACAACGAGTATATGAGTATGTCTCGCTTATCGGCAAATGAAAATACATTGCTATCTGCGTAACAGTCCTAATTGATTGACACACTTTGCCCAAGTAAAAATATTCTTCACTGTTACACGAATGAGTCTTCAATGTCTGTCATAAATCATGGAACTGCCAACAACGAAAGCGATATATTGATTATCGGGGTTTTTAGTTTTGAAAGCAAGCGAACACTTTGTGATTGATATTCAAAAGCACTCGGGGCTCACCTGCAGAGGTGGAGAGATTAGGACAGAGGTCACTGACTCCCCCTGTAGACTGGCTGAGCCTCTTAATCTGATCACAGGGATGCACAGAGAGACCGACAGAGCTCTACTGCGCTAACGCAAGATGAAAGGAAACCGCGCGGAACGAAGAAGAGTAATTTATTTACCATTCGTGACAATGAAAGGCTGTTACATTTCTGGCCATGGAGTGACCAAAACTGTGCAAACAAGACGGGGGGAAAACAATTAGAAACAACGCGAATGAAATGGTCAAAAAGAGGCTAAATATTATCGATCGTTTAATTGAATTGTGACCATTTAGCAAATGTTCGAGGAGACATTTCATGCCTAATAAATAACTTCCAACCGATATATAATTCCAACACTTTGTTGTAGTGTCTCGGCACTGTCAGCCCTGTTCGTGTTGTTTTTATACTCAACTGCACTAAAATAGGCCTGTTGCCCTGACGTAATCGTTACCATACTGGACTCAAAATCCATAAGTCAATGGTTCAATCTCCCGGCAACGGCGGTTAAAACAATGGGCACGTTTTTGGTTTTAAATCTCCTCCCGCCTCTGTCCACCCAGCAGCATGAACTGGGGGCACCAACGTTAGCCAATTGGCAGGTTGTATGTGTGGTGGGGTAAAGTGTGGGTACCCCCACTTCTTCCAACATCTCTGGCGACTGTGAAAGAGGAGGAGACATATACACCTTCTAGAGGGGGCCCTCTCCAGCTGCACATGAGACATTTAATAGTTCTTGGGCAAAACCCTTCAAGTGACGTTTTTAATCAGTTCACACAATTGTGGCCGCACTGTCCCTTCCACTCTGCTATTAGTTTGTCGAATTCTCAAGACATCGAATTTCAGAAAATTAATGACAAAATCATTATGTGATGGGTTTCTTGTGCCATCATTGGTGACTGAGCAGAGGCCTTATACGAGTTACTCTTGAGATTCCATATTTATTCATGGGAGGCGACCCAGATTCCAATCCAGGTTCTCAGCTGGTTACTGGCCCAGTGCTTTTGATCTCTGAGCCACCCAGCCACCTCGCTGCGCTGCATTATAACACGTGCTCGGTCTGATAAGTTTGCTCACAAATTCAGGTTCTCCAAACTAGTTCAGATGAGAAGCTGCATCACTCTAACATTTGAGTAATATATTTTTTTATTTTACCTCTGATTTCTTCTTCCAATTTGGAGACACGGGCGGAAGAGAAGTACGGTTGGATCTGGAAGAAAACAAAAAGTAGTCAAGTACAGCACTGTTATAAAAAAAATGTATATACAACTTAGTGGAAGAGAGACAGAGAGAGAAGCTTGCAGCAATAGAGTAATTAAACGTTACCTGCATCCTCTGTGACACCAAGGTACCTTTGCTCTGCCCACTATTTATTTTTACCATGGGACAAAACCCCATGGTAAGCTCTTACACGACACGATACTGGTTGTAGCGCTGTGAACAAATTGCAGCCATCATGATGGCGATAATGTTTTTGAAAAGTGAGTCCCTCTTGTGCCCCCTTTGTCCCAGTCTTTGGAACCTGTCTTGCTCATTGCTGCAAACGTGTTCCGCCCATCCGCAACCTCTTCTTTACAATTACATCTACACACGCCGCGCCAACCAATTAGATTTACCCGTATTCTTCTACGGGGGAAATCCGTTTTCAGGTCCATACGGCGTACAGCCTTTTCAATAGGAGCAAAAAATTGTGTCTATTTGTTTGTGTTTCTCCCTTGTGATGGGACTTTGTCGGATGAACGTTGAGATTTATAAGAGGCACTGGGTGACCAGTAAGGTCTGCAATGGTCTGTAATAAGGTAGGGCACTGATAAGGGCTTGACTGGTATGTCTACAGAGCTTTCCTGACACATTCTATTCCGAGCCACAAAGCTGCTTACACCTCTCCTCCCATTAAACGTATTGCATCCTTGACAAGCAAATGCGTTCAAAAGCCACGAGATTATTTGGTTATTGTTTCACCCGTACAGCGACAGGCATTCATGTCGCCACAAGAACCTGTCCAAACATTACAATTGACATGGCCAGGTTCCCGAAGTTGTTCATGTTGTCCATAAAATTAATTGCTAATGCAGTAATCTCTTGACTTTCTACTCACAAATAACCACATCATACGAAAACTAAACTCTTTATTTTACCAGGTAAGGCCCACTGAGCTACGTAGCTCTTATTCAGAAGCGACCTGGCCACAAATTATAGCTCAACGAAGTGGCTTATGATGTGGACATTTATAGCAGCCAAATACTCCAAATGCACGTTGATTCTAAATGTGCAGGGAAAAACCGGAGGACCCGGAGAAAAACCACGTGACTATGGGGAGAGAGACACACAAACTCCGAATGTCCAGGCGTCGGGGTCAGGATTGAGCCCACGACCTCCTGCATACCAAGCAAGGGAGTTGAAATCCCTAAAGACAACCGATTTGTACTACCTGCACATGCACACGTTCTCCTGGTACACGTGGATAGACGGTAACAACCCCACTGTTTCCCATCGACTTGAGTGGCAGACTCCATTCCGACAAGATTAGAATAATTTCGGCAGCATTGTGGAGTTTGAGCTTACCACTGGGCAGACGACTCAATCAGAAGAGAAAAAGATAGCATTGGCTTGAAAGAAATAATGATCATGGCAATGATGATGATTATGAGTGTGATGATGTGAAGCAGAATTCCCATCCCCTGAGAGAATGTCCGGTTGGCTACGTACGGTGCGAAAGAAGTTCAACGTGCGTAATCTGTAAAGGATTTCTAAAGGATTCACAAGTCACGAGTGGGCGTTAATTCTATCGCACGGGGACCGCACCTCCCAAACCTGCACTGCGCTTTATTCCGACTCGCGACGACGACGACGACGTTGATGACGGACGGAGTTGATGTTCGCGCCGACGAAGCAAAGAGTGGCTCCGCGTGACGGGCCGCTTACCTGCGCACCCTACTGCGTGACGCCCACCGCGCCACCAGCTCCCCGTAGGGCATCGGCTTGAAGCGCTCGCTGCCCACGGCCACGTAGAAGTGTCCGTTCTCGAGCTCGCTGGCCCCGCGCACAGGCAGCCCCTCCAGCTGGCACAGCCTGCTCACACAGAGTGGGGCCGCGAGCAAACGCGAATGATCGCACGGCTCTGTTATTACATTTCTGAGCCCGGTTTATTGTGGTGTCGTTTATGTACCTTATGAATGCTGAACGTCGTTCGCACCGCCCGTAGACAACCGTGGCTTATCGCGGGCGCGGGAGGACAACAGGCTAACCACAAAAAGCAGTTCTGAAGAAATTAGTTTTCAATCACACACAGCATCGTCATTTATCGAACGTGCCATCAACTGAGATACCCCTCAGTTGTATTGGAACTCTGAAATCGTAACTTAGGCCACATTGTGTCGTGCTCGATATAGACACGATACTGTGATGTGTGGGGGCTCCGTACATCTGTCTCAATGGAAGACAATATATTTTTTATCGAAATATCCCTCAGTTATATCAATTTTTGGATTAAATTTTTTTTCATTCACTGGTAATTTTAGTTTTGCATGTGAAAAAAACGCTATTGACTGAAAGTTTGAATAAATCCAGTAACTAAATTTAACCATTTACAAAATGAACATCGAATAAGCGAAAATGGTGAATCAACTATGACAGCTCATGCCGTGAACTCGCATCTGTCCCACAGCCGGATCGTGACACTGGAACCTCGTGCTCCATGATAGGTGCAAAAGAGTTGTACTCTGTTCCAAAATAGAATAATGCCCACAGTCAGTGCCGGATTAAGCTAGTGCGGGGCCTGCAGCAAATGTTATAAAGAGGCCCTAAAAAAACATTACTATTAAAACACAAATGTTTAACTTGTATAGAAAAGTAATTGTATTTTTTCATTTGCTATACAGCCAGATAATACGACAAATCACTAACCTTCAACACCCAGTCGTTCATAAAAGTTGTAGGCGGTACAGTACTATATTAATAGAGCATGTGCAGAATCACTGAACCGGAATTGATAGCTTGAAAGCATTTAGCGCGGGGCCATTGAAAGTGCGAGGTCCGTGGCATTTGTAGCTACTTTTGCGACGAGGATTATAATTCGGCACTGGCCACAGTGTGGCCTGGCATGGCAGTGCCCACGTGACTTCTAAGACTCTGGCGCAGGGGTTGGCAACACGTGGCTCTTTGGCTGCCCCCTTGCGGGCAACCATTTTTCTTGTTTCAAACCATAAATCTTAAAACATAATTTAACGGAAAAAAATAATAGAATAAATATGGGTCACTGTGGAATGTCGTGGTGACAACACAATGTGCAGTCGTACTGTATTGTCAAAGAATAACTAAAGGGGAGGTGGGGGGCGGTGAAATACTAATTAGACGCAGTTTATTCAATCGCCTGTTTTGTTCACGTCAGAATGTGTCGTCGTCATCTGCTGTAGACCTGCTGTGTTTGTGTACAAGCGACTCTGCGTGTGATGCGGCTCCCCAACTATTTTAGTCAAAGACAAAAACACGCAAAAAATGCCTCTGCTTCTTCTTGTTCTTTGCAAGGTCGCCGACCCCCGAATCCGAAGGCACCCAGATTGTGCCTTTCATTTGAGCCTTCCAACATGCAGTGTTCCAAAGTCGTCAGCAGACGGCAGTGCAGCAGAAACGTTTGTGACCTATCCTGCACAGACCTGTTTCAGACCCTCAGAGTGTGCGATAACCGCGTGTCCGTCTATTTCCCACCATATCCGAAAGGGAAAAAAACTCATTGAGAAACTGGGAATCGTGGAGGTGACTGGAGGCGATTGCCATGTGTCGGAGCACTGAGCCTGGCACCACTGAGTTTGTGGGTTATAATCCGGGCTTCAACCACAACATTATTGCATCAGTTTCTTATTTGTATGTGAAATTATTGTCAGACTGGCCACCAACAATTGCACAAGACCAACATTTTAAAATCTTCCTGTTCTCAAAATAAAAAATGTTGCGTTGATGTGTGCGCACGCACTCTTTGTAAGGGCACATCGGCGGTGAGCCCCGCGTGTGGATCAACAGGTTTCGTTTATTTAGCGAATGCTTTTGCACTCGACTTTTACACAGCGAGAGCACTGAACACACAAGGTAAATAAATACATATTGTTGGTGCTTATTTGCAGGGACTCTTCTACTTACAAACGAGTTGGGTTCAGGTCTGTTCGTAAGTCGATTTGTTCGTAAGTCCAACGTTACTCCTGTCGATTCCAAACACGTCGTGCGGCATGTGCACTAAACACGCCGGAATGGATTTAAGAGTTTTATAATCCCCTGTAGATGTAGATGCCACTGGTTCTTCGTGTTCTGCAAATGTAGATGCCACCACCGCCATCTATGACAGGCAACTGGACATACGGACACGTTTGTTCGTATCTCTGAAAGTTCGTAAGTCGAATGTTAGTAAGTAGTGGAGTCCCTGTATGTCAATGTTATACTGGTAGGAACCTCCTGGTTACACCAGCCCACAGGGGATTATTGTGTCCGTCCGTCGTGCATCCACGACGGACGGAGAGGGGTGGGTGGGGAGGGGCTGGGTGGGGAAGGTGGGGAGGGGCTGGGTGGGGAGGGGTTGGTCACCCCGTGGTGCCCTTATAAAACTCAACGTTTAACCTACTCCCGCCGGCTTGTGCCCGCCCTCACAGTCGGCCATATTTGCGGAATACACCACGCCGCCGTTGACCCTGGCCATTGACCGAGCATCCCAACGTTCCTACCAGCTCCCTCCGCAGGAATGTGTTATACGCATGTGTGTGGACGTCAGCCCCCACGTCACGACAGAGCCACGTGACAGCCTCACCCAGCCACGTGCAGGGCAACGAACCAGGAGGGGTGAAGCGACCCTCTGGCGCTGCGCTGCGTCAGAGTGACCAGCAGGTGGCGAGGATGACAGACGGATGAAGCCCCATTGCGGGAACAGAATCCGAACTCCGCATGTATTCATACTGGAGGAATCCGATGAGCTATGAAGCTCTTTTTCACAGATGTCACAACAACAAATAATGCAAACACACGCTACGAGTGCAGATTGCGGGCGAGGTAAACAAATCACCACGCAGCAGTGATCCACTTTGAACTCCGTGCGAGTTTGTGTGTCCCCCCACGTGAGTCTGTGTCGTCAAGTGAGTCATTATGTTAGCCAAAATCATGAACCAATGTGAACTCTACCTGAGTCCATGCGTCTCTATGCCAGTCTAGGAACCTATATAGTCGTGAATTCCCGTGGATTGTGTGTACGTCTATGGGTCTCTATGCGAGTCTATGGGTCTCTATGCGAGTCTATGAGTCTCAATATGAGTATATGGGTCTTTGTGCGTATCTATGGGTCTCTATGTGAGTTTAAGGGTATCTATGTACATAGCGTCTGTGGATCTCTATGCACATAGCGTCTGTGGATCTCTATGCGAGTCTATGGGTCTCTATGCGAGTCTATGGGTGTCTGTCTGAGTCTATGGGTCTCTATGCGAGTCTATGGGTCTCTATGTACGTAGAGTCTTTGGGTCTCTATGTGAGTCTGAGGGTCCCTATGCGAGCCTATGTTCCTCTGTGTGAGTCTATGGGCCTCTATGTGAGTCTATGGGTCTCATATAATTACGTGTGAACGCACATAGCAATGAAGCACTGTGAACCCTCGAACATTCAACGGAAGCATTGAAGCAATCCACTGCACATAGACTGAAAGCCGTTCCGTGGTTCACTGCTCTTGCCCATGGGCTTCGAGGTTACTTTCACTCACATGGGCCTTCCCATACAGCCACATGAGGGACACGGAGCGGGAGAGAAAGAGCAGGGCTACAGCTAGACTCTTTTTAACAATTTCCCCCCACGCGATTCGATAAATTGTCTCAATTTTGGGTTGCCAAGTTTTTTTCTGTATAATGCAGTTTTTTTTGGGTTAGATCGTGTAAATATATAAATGTGTCAGTTAAACCCGCCACCACCCGACACAGCCAATTAGTAAGGTTTGTCACGTAAACAGAACATGGCAGTTCGTTACTAGAATGGCACACCGGTGTGTTGGAGAGCAAAGCCACAACATTTACAATCTGAGTACGACGTTTCGCCAGTGATTACAACTAACTTCATCAGGCGACGGCCAGAGTTGTGTGTTGGCAATGTGGTGAATGTAGAGCCCCCCTGTTGGGTGCAGAGTTCACAACGGACCATTCACGTAACAACAATTACATTCGACGTACACGTCATGTAAAGCAATAACGATTTTTTTTTAAGATCACGATATCACGAACGTAGGGATTTATTTAAGTCAATGAATCGGCATCGTTGACAATTCTGAACGTGCCGATGTGGTTCACATCCTGCATAGGGCGCGAGAATCTGCACTGGGATCGCAAGACGCACGCACTGAGCCCAGGAGACGTGCACGCTCCGAGCCAGGAAATGTATTATTTTAAGCCAGGTTCGTCTGAAATAACATTGACTAAAAGTTATTTAAAATGTATCTGAATTTATACTTAAAGTCACATACAAGCAGACTGACATGTTTGTCATCAATCGTAATGGGTATATTTCCTGGCAAGAGTACAGGAGGCAGAATTGATGGAAGATCCTAACATAAACAAATAGAAAGAAGTTGTTTTAGGCAATTGACTTCGTGGTTATAAGCATTCTAAGAATATTGATGTAGATGTGAACAAGAATATCACTGGACAGAGTGACTGTGGAAATGACTTAGTTGCTTTGGCTTATCTCACTCGATAAGCAACCTGCTTTAAGAATCTTGCTTGATGGGAATCAGGCTTACGTTGATGAGCGGCATCGTAATGGTTTAAGGACAGGACTGGTATTCTACGGAACAACACAGGTTTAAGAACATATGGTCATGTTGATATTCTGATGGTGTTAAAAACTACGAGAGTGCAGCTGGTACATCTTTAATAGACGTGCCGTAATGTTTTGCACTTAATTGAATCTGTAGGCCTCAGGTTTTCCGTTGCTGGTTAACCAAAAAATACATTAAATAACTCATAATACAAAGAATGTCTAGCGATCTGTGGGAAAAAAACATATTAAAGTGGCAGGGACATTAAACAGCGAGGGCTTATACTTGTGTACCTTGA